AATTTTGCACTTACAAGTGTGTAAGAGCCCAATTTGGTTATTTGCACTCGCTGGCTGGTGAAGCTTTTTTGTTGCAAGAATTGTGGAGCCATTGAAGCAAATTTTTATTAAACCTTCTTCTCAAATTCCATACCTGAGGTGGTGGAGATCAATCCACAACCTGGTGGGTATAGCAAGAGGGGTGAGATAACCATCAAAGACAATTTGTGGAGATATTTCTTCCAAATTACAACAGTAGGGGAAATCACAAGATATCATTTCTAAGAAGGACAAGGTAATAAGACCAAAACCAAATAAATAAATAGTGTGTTATATTTTGGTGATAGCATTGTTACCATCTTCAGACAAAAGTAGTGAATGACTGAATGATGATGGTAACAGCATTGTTACAGGAACCATCACACACTATTTATTTATTTGGATTTGGTCTTATTACTTTGTGTTCATAATCTACAATCCAAATTATGCCTTATCATTTCTAAGAAGAATTTTTTTTTTTTGCTTATCCCTATTACACAGGGTACAGGCCATGATAATCATGGTGGGTAGGGTAGAAGTAGACGACTGCTTTTACTGTAAGTGCCCCACATGTCTATACATGTGAAAAGCAGTTCGACTTTTCACTTACAAATGTGCCATTTGGTTACTTTCACTCGCTGGTGGGGTTGGACTTTTGCAAGAATTGGGGGCCATTGGAGCATTTTTTTTTTAAATCAGAAAAAAGTGTCCAATGCGGGAATCGAACCTGGGTCGTAGCGGTCGAAAACCAACAGTTTAGACCATCCTTCCACCGATCCCCTCTAAGAAGAAATAAAAGCTAAGGGGGGGTGAGGAGATTCTTTATTTAAACATTAGATATCTCTTCATTCATCCGAGACACACAAACAGAATAATTGATATTTCCCAAACTTACCAACAAATCTGATTCAATAGCTGCCCAGTAGGAGGATAAACCATTTTTACAGCAAATCTATTTCAGTTTATCATATATATATATTGCGTATGATATTGTTTTTTACAGCACAATACAACAATGTTGGCAAGTTTCTCTAGAGTGGAATGTCGAGGTGACGAATCCACTCCAGGGCCTCCTCTGAGTTTATCATTATATATATAGATGGAAAATTTGCCGGGAGGAAATATAATTATACATTATATACTGTATATACTAGCCGAATGACCCGGGCAACGCCCGGGGTTTACCCGATTAAATGCTTTTATTCAAATACTATTCGTTACAATTATAAATTGGCGCCGTGGATGTCATTCTTGTATAATATATAAATAAGCTTTAAAAATTGTAAAAAAAAAAAAATGCATCCCTGGGAATCGAATCCGGGGCGCCCGCGTGGCAGGCGAGCATTCTACCACTGAACCAAAAGCAAACGGTGACAGAATTAAGAACGCATGACGATGATAACTGTATATTATCCGTGACAGAGGCGGCCGATGAGGAAAGACGGTCGTGACTATATTATATATATATAATAATTTTAAAAATAAATTTGAAAAAGAAATAAAATTTATTACATTGACTTCCAGAATATTAAAAAGGAAAAATCAGTGCTAATTGGTTGCTATAAACATTCAGCTATTATTATTTCCCCTTCTTGCCAAATAAGCAATTACCTAGTAAGGATATTGTACCTTTCCTCCATAGGAGAAAATATAGAATATAATTGGCCATCAATATTTCCATGGAGAGTGTTCCCCTGTGTACAGCAGAACATGGATTCTATGGCATTCTCTCACTCGGTTCACTCATTTCCAGGTCTGAAAAGATTTTTTTAAAGAGATAAGTGTGTGTGAATACTGTATATTCCAAGTCACAACCCACCATGATTATCATGGCTTGTACCATGTGTACTTAGAGAAAAATATTTTTCATTCTTACAAGGCACCAGAGCCCCATTTGGTTACTTGTAATTACTAGTGAGGTTGAACTTTTGTAAGAATAAGCATTGTGAATCAATTTTGCCTTCAGGAAAAGGTACTTAATGCAGAAGGAGGATTCAATCCCATGTCATTGTTGTTGGAACTCAGCAGTGTGCACCAATATTATGATTTTTTAAAAATAAATCAATTTTTTACTGCCCTTACTACAATGATAAAAAAAAATAATGGGAGGGCCTGGCTCATCAGTGGGGAACCCTTCCAGCGGTTTCGCCAGTTTAATCTTCCATACCGCTGTAATATTGCATTTTATTAGTTTTCCATTTATACTGATAGTAAAGCTAGACTCTTGGAAAGGGTATGATAAAGCACAATTTGGATTATAATAAAATAAGACCTAATCCAAATAATTTATTAGTGTGTGACGTTTCGGCAACAGCATTGTCACCATCATCAGACAAATGAATTACACTGATAATGGTGACAATGCTGCTGCTGAAATGTCACACACTAATAAATTATTTGGATTAGGTCTTATTTTCTTTTATCTTGGGAAGGGTATTTCAAATTTGTATATATTGTTAGGGACTCTATGACTTTGTACATGTTGGGAATATTGTGTGTGGGGACAGACTTGAATGCTGTGAGGTAAATCCTTTATTAATTATCTCTCTCTAATTATGATGATGGTGTGGTGCAATTGCACAGGTATGATTGATTCACAAGGACCAAATACAGTAGAACAAACATTGTTGTATTGTGCTGTAAAAAACAATATCATACGCAATATATATAGTAGAACAAAACCTCCATGAGAAGAAAACACCTCTCTACAAAGACAAGTTGTCATATCACCAAAATTACCATTTAGTACATATTTAGTTTCTCTCTGGTAAGAGAGGACACCTATCTCTAAAGAATACTTTAACTCTCCAAAAACTCTCAAAAACCTCAAAAATTCACCTTCAATGGATACCCTCACACGTTGGCATTGAAGAAAATGAAGCTGCTGATGTGCTAGCGAAAAAAGGCACAAAAGAACCCTTGCCACAGAAAAATAAACTAACTTTTAAAGAAATAGAAACAGTAGCCAAAACAAAAATAAGCAAGAACTGGAGGATCCCACCTAAGCACAGTTGGTACAGTGGAGTGAACCCAGGAGGAGCTCTGAACATCAGAAATAGACAGCATCAAACAACACTAACAAGATTTAGAACAGGTCTTCTCAAGCCATTGAAGATAGAAAATAATAAACAAAATCTACCCTACTTGCCCAAAATGTAGTTTGGTACCTGCAGCTCCAGAACACATTTTGGCTTGCATTAGATGCACTAAACAGGACCTTTGGGAGAGGCCGCTGCTCATCATAAAACAGCTCGAGGAGCATGAACTCATGGAATTTGTGTAATCTTTACACAAGGGGATAAGAAACAACAACATACTTTAACTCTGCAACTAGGTGTTGTCTTTACATGGAGGTATTTTAATAGTATGTGGGTTTGTATACCATTCTGTACTGGCCGGGAATTCCATTTAAAACTGAGGCAGTATTTGAGTTGCACTCTCAGCAGTACCATCTTGTGTTGATCTGACAAGGTTGCCAGGCCTCTTGTTTATTTTCATTACCTAGTTGGTGGGAGGAGATGTTTGTTGTGTAAGAGAGTTGTTGACATTGTGTGTTCAAACTGTGTGAAGGCTGGCTCTCAGTAGAATCACACAAGGTGACCAAAACCTGATAAGTAGAACTACATCTTTGTAAAGGACAACACCTAATTGCAGAACTAAAGTATCCTTTAGAGAGAGAGAGAGGTGCCCTCTTACCAGAGAGCAGCTAAATAGTAAAAAAAAGAAAAAGGTAATTTTGGTGATAAAATTGTATTTATTTTGTCAATATATCAGAACTATTAATTATAAATCCCTATATAAAATGACTTAAAATGTTTTGTAAACAGCATGTACTCCAATAATATATATGTATATAAATTCTGGGTAGGAGGGTTATACTGTGGCCGATATGTAAGTATGGAAACACTCCGCTAATCAGTGTAATCAGTACCGATGGGCAGTGAAGGAGAAAACCAAACACCGCCCTCTGCCCTCCTCAACTTAAAAATAAATTTTGAAAACATTTTCTTCAGAGAGCTAGTTCTTCTACAGAAACTGCCAAGTTTTGAATGGCAGAACATCTTCAATCTTTATATATGTATTGGAGGATATGGTAGTGGACATTCAACCATGATATCATAGATGATCCATCTAACAAAATATGGCTACCCCTGGTCTCTCATGGGAGGTTGGGAGTTCAGTTTAAGTTTTTAATAACTCTATCTGTTCCAAGACTAGATGAAAGAGGTGGAGAGAGGGAGTAGCAACAAGCTAGCTTGAAAAAAAAAAACAGAGTTCAACTGATACATACCGCCCTGTAAGGAATCCATGAACACAGGAGCAGCATCTATACTCCAAACACAAGGTAATAAGACCAAATCCAAATAAATAATTAGTGTGCGACGTTTCAGTAACAGCAATGGTAACAATGCTGTTACTGAAACGTCACACACTAATTATTTATTTGGATTTGGTCTTATTACCTTGAGTTTGTAATCTATAATCCAAATTGTGCCTTATTATCTATACTCCAAGTTAAGAGTACACCATGTCTGTTCCTCATGTCTGAGAGGCTGCCATTTTATAATGGAGCTAAGTCAGCCTGCTACTGAGAGAAAAAATGCTCCCAATCTTAATGACTAAAACATTTTACTTCTCTTAATCCTCAGGAAACTTCATCAAGATCCACAGACTTGTGACACCTTTAAATGATTGAAAAAGGAGAGAAAAATGAAAAAGGTTTTTTTATTTTCTAAATTTTACATTTCCACCCCCCTCACTTAGATTTTACCTAATTGATATGCCATAAATTTCTACAACAGCTCAATAAACAATAGAGAAATTTGTTCTTTTTAATAAATTTAATAAATAGGGATAAAGCACAATTTGGATTATAGATACAAGAAAATAAGACCTAATCGAAATAATTTAATAGTGTGTGACGTTTTGGTAACAGCATTATTTGGATTAGGTCTTAGTTTCTTGTATCAAAGGAATAAATACTTACACATTATTGACTCATCCATTGATGAGCTCTACTCTTCCCCGGCAGACACCATCAAAAGTCTCAAGCTTTACAAGCTTGATACCTTAATATGATTGAGTGGAGATAAGAAAGAAGAAGGGATAAATACTTAACCTTCTCTCTGCCCTTACTGCAGGGATATTAAGAGCACCTGGCTAATCAGTAGTGAACCCTCCTACCAGTTTAAACCAGATTATACCAGTTTAAACCAGATTATACCAGTTTAAACCACACCAGATTGCTTCTGCTTAGGTAGCATACAGAGAATTATATGGACATGGGTTATGAGGCACCACTAATTATTTTGTCATTACAGTCGAGGAAGTAGGTAATAGTTTTTATACTTGAAAAAAAAAAAAAAAAGAAAGTTGCATTGAATAATTTGAAATTTTGATTATAGATTAAAACTCTTGTGTATCAAGTCTTCTTTAAAGCACACTTTTTCTTCTACAGAAACTTCACTGTAAGAGAGGAACTACGCTATTCTAAAGAACAAGAGCAAGTTGGTTTTCATACCTTTAAACAGTCCCAAGTCTTGTTCTTTTAAAAATAATTATTACTTTGATAAAGCACAATTATAGATTATAATAAAAGAAAATAAGACCTAATCCAAATAATTTAATAGTGTGTGATGTTTCGGCAACAACATTGTCACCATCATCAGACAAAAGAATATTCTTTTAAAGAAATCATTTTATTCTTTTGTCTGATGATGGTGACAATGTTGTTGCCGAAACGTCACACACTATTAAATTATTTGGATTAAGTCTTATTTTCTTTTAATTATTACTTTATTAAAGCTTGTGTGAGAATTGGGAGAGCTGCTAATTGAAACTAGAGATAATTAAAATTGTTATTAATTAGGACTGATATATTGATAATTGGAACTACTGATAATTAGAATAACTGATAATAGGGAGCAGTGATACTTGGGATAAATTGATTGGGTTGGATAAATATACAGTAAAACCCCTCTATAGTGAACCCCATTGGGACGGGACTTTTGGTTCACTATAGCCACGGTTCACTATAGCCACGGTTTGGGTATTTAAATTTTTTTTGAGGATATAATTAAAGGGAATGCGCAAAAAAAAAAAAAAAAAAAAAAAAGGCTACCTCTTAATATTGGCTGCTTTTTTCCCCCTAAATTAACCTATTTCTATATATTAAAATAAAAACAAAATAATGTGAAAATATTGCCTTTTTGATCAGTTCCTCTGATAATTTAATTAGTATAAATGCAACCTGCCCCCCCATATGTCAAAAAAATCCAAGAAAAGTATACCTTATATATAAAAATTAAATAAAAACTTTATTAATAATATTTTAAAAGGTATAACAATATATTTTATATAAATAA